TTTACATATGAAAATTACTTTCTTTCTTCTCGACGAAAACAGAAAAATGAATTCTTTTGAAACGCAAAGCAAACGAAATGAGGAAGAAATGCTTGACTGAGACTGGATAAAAATGAAGAGGCAACTGCTGGATTCTCATACAGGTTTTTGAAGCAGGCATTCATTCGAATGACTGATGACAAATCAAACAAAAAAAAACGAAAATAAAATCAAACTGAGAGCGAACCAAGTGGAATACGCTTGAGCCATTTGACAAACGGACCACGTCTACAACAGATCAAAACAACGATTACCCATATTAATAATGCAACTACAATTAAAACGGAGACAACCAAACAGGATGAGCATCTTCGATGAACGATAAAGCCTGAAAATTGAATGAATATTTTTCATGATGTATGCCTGAAGAATTTGTAACGTGCTGCTTGATCAATCAATGCAAATTCGACAGTAAACTGGCTGGGCGCAAAAATATATGAGAAAAAAAGTGAAAAAAATATGGAAGAGTACCATTAGGAGAAACGTTTCTGTACGGTGGAACAGTGAGATTGTAGTTGCAGTATGATCCTTCATAACAGCACGCAATACTTTTTGGAGTTGCATGAGCTATTAGATGCGCTTTACACTGAAATATACTCACGAATCATTTTAATCCCAATTATTACATGGCACTGAAGTAGGATATCGAGTGGGTATTTCGTGTTATTGAAATAATGTAAATTCCGTAGAGAATTGCTGCTGCAAACATACCGTAAAATATGAGCCACCAGAACCGCGTGTAAGTGGCGCACAACCGAAGAGATGTGCCGTTTCTGAACGACCGTCTGCCTCGTTATAAACCTTGAAAATTTGGGCATTACAGTAAAGGCGCTAAAATGAGAACAACTTTCAACAGTGAGCAGACAGAGCTTTGCCTGGATTGTTCCACTCATTCACAGACTCGACTCACCTGAATTACATAGAAAAACAACGATCGGTCTTCGCTTAAGAATTCATTGCATCTTGAAGTGAATCTTACCTCTTCAGTGAAATGGAAACATGCTGCTTCAAGATGCTTCATGCACGTGTTGTTTGTGAAACCACCACAAAACTCTGGCTCATAATTACAATAACACAAACTCCGATCATTCTCGTATTTTGGTGGTAACTGAAACTTATTTCGATAAATGATGATCAGCAAACAATTTCCATCACCTACCTGAAGCTTAGTTCGTCTCATATCAAACAACCCGTCCCCATGAAACCTCAATTTTCTGGAATATGCTCAGATTCAGACTGCTGCCCGTGAACACAAAAGCTCAGAGTTCCTAATTAAAACCTTCAGTGAATTTCAGTTATGAGAACGGAACTATTTCCACAATTCAATAATCCAACAACGCGTCGTTTGATGAAGTTGAAAAGAGAAATAAATGAATTGATAAACGAACACTTTTACGTCTTCGGTCAGCTTCAGTTTCATTTCTAACGATAATAAAATCCTCAGCAGGTCTATTCTGCGCATCTAACGGAACCGATAGGTCACCATCCGCATCGTAACGCTCCGCCGAATCATGATCATATTTTTTACCTTCAAATCAAATCAAAACTGAGTTCGATCCCAATAATCGTCTGATAAAAACGACTTGGTATGAGTGTACGAAAATGACAGATTTCAAAAATGATTACTAACCAAATTCACTCAGCTGAGCATTTGTTGTTGATATGATCAAACAATATGTGAACAAACAACCAATAAGAAAATTTCCAACCATTACTTCTAATGCGTTCGAATCACACCGATTCATCAATCGGGTCACGTCATCTACAAAATTATTCGCTATAACTATTACTGAATCATAAACATAAATTACTTCATGATTTCACTGCTAATTCCATGTTTCTTTTTACATTTATGATTTACTGACCACTGAAGGAACTCCATAAGATGTCTAGGCAATTGTTACGGTGACAACGAATAGGAAAGATAAGGTAAATGAGAACTGCCTCACATCTTTCACCTAACATAAAATAATAAAGTGTATCATCGCAAATAAGCAACAACCAAAACACATGTACATACCATTCAGAGCACTTATATCCAAAACAGTAGATTATCAGCTAATCTGTAAAATGCAACAATTCATCAAACAATAAAAATAAGTTAATAAACTAAAATTGAGTGATAAACTTGCTGTCGTACAATCGGATTCTATGAGTGTGCGGCGTAAGTAATGCCTGCTAAACAATCATCACACGCACAACCCAAACGACATCACATCACATCACAACCACTCACGTACACACAGCCAAACGAATTGTCTTAAGCAAAACACAGGTACGACTGTCTAATCACAAGGATTATCCACATCAATCTGGATAAATAAAACAGTTATCGCTATCATTAACGTTCTTGTTATATTACTATACCCCAATCTATGTAACGAGAACAGCAAGCAGCAACACCTGATGCTCCAACAGTTCAGTGCTCTCTCGTTCACACTCTACGTTCACATTCAGCCGCCATTCGAGTGGATGGGATGTTTGCTTTTACTCTCCTCGATTATGCCGACACGGTGGCGCCATATCAGTCAGCAAGCAATAATCGTTCAGCAGCACTGTTCATCGTTACAGTGTTTAATCTGAGCAATAGCAACAATCCGTACCATTGTCCACTACTTCCTCTGCAGAACACTTCGAAAAGAGCACCGGAATTGTTTTTTTTAACGGAACATTGAGCAGCACTGCGTTCGTATTGTGCGTCCGTTTTCGGTTATAGTTGGATGATTACTGCATTTGCTTGCAAATAAACTGCTTCAACAACTTGTGCCAGTTATCGCTGCTGCAAGATTAAGCACAATGCATAATTCATTTTTTCCAATGCTGCTATGAAAACGTCCATAGGGAATGCAAGAAATTGAAGTGAATATCAGAGTATGTTAGAAGAGGGCGATTAGGATGTCACAGTGGAATTAGCGTTATCTCATTTGGTAATTTACGGAACACTGCTTCGAGAGGTTGGCTCATAGTCAATCAGTCTTAATCACAATTGAAAATTAATTACTGAAATCGGTTTGTGATCTACTGGTTTCTTCTACTAACGAGATTATACGTGACAAGGCTGATGGTTGACTGCCATGAAATCGCCCTTCAAAATCTTTTACTTTCAATTTTCAATTGGATTTTTTGTCCCGTATTGCTCCTCGAGTTCAATGCTTCACCCAAATATTATAACACCAATCGTTACTAGGAAAAAACGGTAAAAACACTGCAAAATTAAAGTCATCGCATGATATAACTACCATTCACTAATACTCTCACTGATTATATACAGGCTGATATTCTTCTGGAAATGGAACATAAGCGACGTTTGAGATTTCTGAAGATTTATTTTGACAACAATCATCTCATTAGAAATAATAACAATAGACAGTTATAATAATAATGGTGATATAATATTCATTTGACAATGATAATGATAAAATTAAGATTTTGTTTGTGTTCAGATGAAAAGGGAATAACCAATAAAGAATTGACAATGAAAAAATGAAAGGAGAAAATAATCAATACTAATGCAACATCAAACGATTCTGATTTGTACGACGAGCATGTATGGATACTAATATACAATTCTTTTCAATTCACGTAAGCAGAACACCGCATGTGAGCAGAAGTGCTCAGCAAAATGCATGATATCTTGAATCTAGAGGTTCCGAGGGATCGAATGGTAAATAGAAATTCATATATCACAGCGCAAACCCGAGAGTACGGTAGGCATGAAAATAGTAACCCGTACAATGCTACAGTAATCAGCCATATCTCCTCAGGTAAGCAAAACTGCTCAACAAAGTTTATGTTTTTCTATATCTAGAGGTTATGCGGAATCGAACGGTGTACAGGAAGTGCCGTGTTACTGGGTAAACCTGAGAGGACGGGTAGCTTGAAAACGGTAACCCTTTAGAGCTATAGTAATGTATATATTGATCTATTGTGATACAATAAGCGCAAATGCGCTAGCTGATTGTGAGATAGCTTAAAAAATAGATAGGTCTCCTCATGTAGGTAGAATTACTCAGTGAAGTATATGATATTCAAAATCTAGAGATTCCG